GAAAGTAGAAAATTACTAGTAGTTTATTTTTTCTGAGCCTATTAAAAAACTCAAAAAAAAAAACTGGCTGTGTTCTTTGACACTATTCTTGGTACTAGTACGTAGTTTTATATCAACCTAGGGTAAAATGGCAACTGATATTTTCACTCGTTTGTAATTATGCCGACTTGGGGTTTGGTACATTTCTAACGTGACATTACCAAAATATGTACATGTACAACTCTCGTGAGAAAGAGAGAGCGAGGGAGCTAGGCGAGTGTGGCGACCGTTGTTTTTCTTTCCCAACCACTATTTTACAAATGAGTGGGTATATTAGGAATAGGGACTTATGTAAAGTAGAGAGGGCAAAAAAAATCATGTACGCACTATAAAAGGAAAGTAAATAAGAAAAGATTGGTGCTTTCGTGTGAAACAATGGAGCACAAGAGGGAATCCTAGGCGCTGTGCGTAAGAGTTGTTTTTGACAGCGAATTTATTCTATGAAGAATAGGCTTATCCTCGCAGATTCGTGGCCTTCTTAAATTTAGATATTGACAATCGAGTCCTTTTATTTGTTTGAAGCCCTCCGTTTTCCAATAAAAAGATTTTAATTAAGAGTAAATATTATCACCGGTACCGATAATCTTCACGGCCGCTGCCAACTGGTACTAGTCCGGTTGGTATCGTAGGAGTGGGTTAAGACTTAAGGAGGGAGGAAATCCTAGACTCAAATCCTAAAAACGACTAGTAATGTGTGTGTGTACCTATATATATATATATATATAAATCATAACGGCCATGCATGATCGCATTACTATAATTAGAAATTACAAATGCTGTCACATGCCTTGATATGAGGCCGTGTCCCTTACACCTTGATCTCGTGGAGAAAGGGAGTATAAATTAACTCTAATACCACTTTTAAAGTCAAGTTATTCACCGGTATTATTTTTATATAATTAGGCTCAAATCTTTCCACAAAAGTGGTAGATTTGAATACCTACTCTCTGAAAATGGCATTCCTCTAATTCATCTTGGCATGGACGAAAGAAATTTAAGCCAGGCAATTTGAGACAAAATCCATGTGTACTAATATCGAATTCTTAGTTTCAAGATCCTAGTTTTTGGCTAACGAACTTGTCATTAGGTTTTGAGTATGTATCTTATTTCAACATAGTTAAACTAATAAGAGAGCGAGAGAGATTCCAAGGGGGTTTTTGATATGATTACAACGTCCTTTGATCAGGCTGTTATGGTCCAAAGCAAGAGGGCAATATTATAATAAAGGGCGTGTGCGTACGTGACCAAAGGCCCCATTGAGAGTGAGAGAATCATAATTGGTGTATGGAACAATGGTGGGTGGTGATATCATGACTGAGCTTCTCTGCATTATTAAGTACAACACAACATGACCATTTTTGGGAGGGGGAAAGACAAATTCAGAAGGAGAGAGAGAGAGGAGAGAGAGAGAGATTTGTGTTTTTTAGGGGAGAGGATAGGGGACAGCGTGGGGTTAGGGAATGTCAAGTACTGTTTTGAAGGCCTTTGTGGGGGTGTCAATGTCATGGTTTTTGATAAGAGAGAGAGGCGGGACAAAAAACAATATCATGAGCGGCCGGAGCCTGTGCAAGTCTTGCTTGAAAACGCGCACACTCTCTCTCTCTCTCTCTCTCTCTCTCTCTCTCTCTCTCTCTCTCTCTCTCTCTCTCTCTCTCTCTCTCTCCCTTCAATCAAACGCGCCAAGAGGGTAAAAATGAAAAGAAAGAAGAGCAATAATTTCCTACTCATTTGGGTCGTTCCCATCTTAGTGTATAAGCTCATTTGGCATTCTTGGTCAACTTCTCTTTTGCCCCACTATTCTTTTGACTCCTTTTGCCTCCCAGAGACCCCTTTGTGGGCAAGGGTTTTGTAAATCACGGGTGGGGAAGAGTTAAAGAAAGAGGAAGGGGCCAAAACTAAAAATTAAAAGAAACGGTGTGAATTGCAAAATGATCCAGGCAATAAAAGTTGTAGTATCTAATGTTATCTCACCTCCTCATAATATAATCTAATATGAGTTTGAACTCGTAATAAAAACATTAATCTCCAAATGTATCAATTGTCATTATTTAAAAAAAAACAAGAGAATAGTAGTTTTTTTTTTTTTTCAAAATTCGTGAAATATGATACCAAATAATAAGTTCTGAGTTCAAACTCGTAATTAATTTACAATTCGTCAAAGTCTTGTGTTTATGTATTTTTGAGAACAGTAAAATCTCAAACGTCCCTTAAAATTACATCTCTCTCCAATCTATCAACTCCCTATTTGTTTGTCGTGTTAAAAGAATGAGAGAATTAATAATGATGTAACATTAGGAGGTTATATCAAAGTGTCCAAATGCCACCACACCTTTGTCCAAACTACTCGCTTACTGAAAGTAGCTTATTTAACATTTGATTCACGGATTCAAAATTATTTTTAATTTATGTATATTTTTTGTTAAAAAAAATACTGTAACGAATTACGAATTATGATTCAAATTATAAAAAAAATACTGTAACGAATTACGAATTATGATTCACGCATGTTCATTTCGCTGATTTGAGTTTAGAATTCGAGTTTTGCTACAGTAAAAAGCTTTTAGAAACAGTCACATCTAACTTTTTTATTACAGTAAAAAGCTCTCACACAAAATCACATTTCAACTCAAATTATAAACTAAAATCAGCGAAGTGAATGACTCTTAATTTAGCCTTGATGGGTTCTCTTGTATTCATGTAAGAGGAAGTTCAGTGAAACGAGTATGACATGTTTGTGCACAAGCGTGCATTGTAGTACTAGTATGTTCCTGCGTTGCATGTCCCAATCACAAGGGAGTTTGGTGCTTCTGCCACTGTCAGATGGGAAATGTGGGCCCCAAACTTCTTATTTTAGATAGACGATGATATCATTCTCTGCTGATACAAACAAAACAGTAGGTAATTTCTTTACTATTTTTCCTTTGGATCACAGAATCCTACTTTATATTTTTATAAACGAACTATACATTCATCTTCAGAGACACGGTCCACTTTTTAAAAAAAAAAAAAAAAATATATATATATATTTAATATTTTCATATGAAAAAAAAGATGCAAGCCGAGAAACTTTCAGCTATAACCTAACAATTATTTCAACGTTTGAGATTGGTTCTTTCCATCGTCTAGTAAGCTTATCGGCTCGTTTGATATATGAGTTTAAATTAAAGTTTAAATTAATTATTTTGATTATAGCTTTTATAATTTTTTTTTTGAGAAAAAACACAAAACTAAAACTATGAGTTTGTACTGGAGCAGCATCCATATACCGAATAAGCACAAGTGTTTGTCATTTTCACATCGTCTTCATTGTGTGACATCTAATTTTCATTCACCCGATTGAAAAGAAAGTGAACCTTTTGAGTTGGGTTTCTAACTATTTAAGGTTTATACACTCCCTAACTCACCCACTACGGGGAAAAAAAAAGTTTTCAAGTTTTCACATTTGATGCAACATAGTGTAAACCCCCATATGGTAAAGTATCCAAATTTAGCCAATTATTCCTGCATTTACTTGCTTGTTAACACTAGAAATAAAATGCTTATTATTTTATTTGAGTACTTTGTAGCCTTTAATTTGAAAACAGAAAGAATTATAAGAAGTAAAAAACTCTTGCCACTTTAGCTCATCATGTTTCCCAAATCAAGGCATTTTCCGGGTCACCAAATAGGACAGTTTTAAGCTCTTTTTGGCGAGTCTCTCAGAATTACCAGCCGAGAAAAGTACAAACTCCACTTAAGCCATGGGCGCCATTTTTTTTCTTTACGCCCAAACAACCCTCTCTTACCTCTCTTCATGTTCATTATAATGTGCCATTCCCATCTTAGTGAGCTTTTATTATTATTATTATTATTATGTCAGATCATGTACTCTAATCATCTGAATGATCAACTTTAATCAGAATCTTAAATATATGATCATGGAAAGTAATCGGACAACTAGTCTAAAGATAACCTTTGAACGTCAAGTCAACGCTATTTGTGGGGTCCATCTTGCACGTGTACCTATATACTACAAGAGCCCTACTCAAGACCATTGCCTATTATGGCTTGCAGCCGTGGACCCCAATGGCCCACTTACACACGTAACTCCCTGTGTGGCATGGAAATCATGACCCTATGATCAGCATCGGACGGTGATGGATTTGGAGAGAGATTTATGTATTCTCAGAAAAGATATGGGACCCCCAAGACCATAGCAGCTTTTTTTTTTTTTGATAATAGACCATAACAGCTTTCACTTTTAAAAGTTCGCCACTTTTGGATTGTTTATTGTTGGATGGACGGTCTGTTGAATTTGGAGACACAAGGAGTGTATTCGAATCAATAAAGCAAAACGCCCCAACTGAGATAATATTCAAAAAAAAAAAAAAAAAAAAAATCTGAAATAATTAGTACAACAAAAAGATCTCACGAGGAGCTATAGCATGATACCTTCACCAATCTCAAGCTCAATTCCTCGAGATTCCTACCTTCTTTCTTTTTAATATATGATGGTTATTATTGGAATAAATTCTATAATTTATTTTTTATAGGAACTCAATTTTGATGGCCAAGCCTCAGAGAGAATGTTGGATTCCAGAGGCAATTCTAGAAGCTTAGCATAACCCATGTCACTTGTCAGCACTTTTTTTTAATTTATAATTATACTCATAAATAAGATACCCCACAAAGTAATTTGTTATTATTAAGTTGTCTTTAGTTGTCAAATTCACAATGCTTAACAGATAATACTTCACTAGCCTAGCTTAGCATTTTATAGTCAGGGTAATAGGAAACAAAAATTCCAAAACAGATGTACACCTTTTTCTCTAAACCAATCCATGATTGAAGGAATTTTCTTTTTCAATCACCTTTTTTTTTGTTGCTAGTCTCCTAAATTGTTTAATCTGGCTTTCTTGGCCTTTTATATATTCTTTTCCTTTGCTTTACTCAGCCAGTGGTAGGCATGTTTTTTGGTTCATACTTTTTCAACTTTTGTTTTTTTAATTTTGGTTTTTAAAATTTTTCACTACTAAAGTTCTGGTTTTCTTGGCTCTTGAGCTCTCTGACAATAGGCCGTGAGTGAGTGAGTGCAATTCTGGTTTGATAAGCGTGACCAAAAAACTGTACTACACTTTACCTCTGATGTAAACAATACATGCAAAAAACAAGATATACCCAGTTGGAAAATTTTCCTTTTGGATAAACTAATAAGTCGGGAGTTTGGTTGTGTTGAAGCCTTCAAAAAACCATTTCCCACCAACTCTAAACTTACCTTCTCTATTTAGAAGCTGGCTTTGCCATCTGGGTATCTCCTTTTTTTTCTTTTCTGATCAACTTTAATTCTCTCTTCTACCAAATGGAGATCAATAAAGAGTATATCACTTTCTTGTTCTTCTTCAACATTTTCTGCTTATGCCACTTCTCAGCTGGTATGCTTTCTCCCAAAGGTGTCAACTATGAAGGTACTTAATACTAGTATTTTCTTTCTGATCTGAGAATTTGGGTGGTCTGCTTATACAAATGTAGTAATCAATTTTTTTTTTTTTTTTTTTTTTTTTTTTTTTTTTTTTTTTTTTAGTTCAAGCTTTGATGAGCATTAAGTACTTGCTTAAGGACCCTCATAACGTTCTTGGGAATTGGGATGATGCTGCCGTTGATCCATGCAGTTGGACTATGGTCACTTGCTCTCCTGATGGTTCAGTCATTAGCCTGTAAGTAATGTTAAAAACGAAAAGAAAAAAAAAACCAGTAAAAAAGCTAATAAATTGACTTTGTAATAGAAGCGAACTTATGACAGTTTGTTAAGTGGTAATGGTATATTATTTTTGGCTGCAGAGGAGCTCCAAGCCAGAATTTATCAGGTACCTTGTCTCCAAGCATAGGCAATTTGACATATATCCAGAGTGTGTAAGTAAACAATTTGTATTGTTATTTTGTTTAATTTTTTAAGTATGCATAAATCGCTTACCTTATTATAAGCTGTTTTTGCAGGCTATTACAGAACAACAATATATCAGGGCCAATACCATCTGAGATTGGGAGGCTCCAAAAGCTTGACACAATTGATCTTTCAAACAACAACTTCACCGGCCAAATTCCAGACACTTTATCCCACATGAATAGCCTCCAATACCTGTATGTAAAGTTAATAAACAAGTAAACTTTCAAGTTGGGTTTTTATGATTACTTTAATTTTTGTATTGACATCATTATTTTTTATTTTTTATTTTTTAATTTTTGAACTGCAATCAGACGGTTGGACAATAACAGCCTTAGTGGAGCAATTCCTTCATCTTTGGCCAACATGACCTGGCTTGCCTTTCTGTAATTTTTTTCTTCCTTTTAGTTTTTACTTACATTTGTAATTCTGGTTTATCTTTCCATTTATGTATTAATAAGGATTCTGTGAATTTTTTTTGCTTGGTCTAGTGATCTGTCATACAACAACTTAAGTGGTCCAGTTCCCAGAATGCCAGCTAAAACCTTCGAGTAAGTTACTTCAATCTCTCTCTTTTTTTTTTTCTTTTTTCTTTTTTGGCAATATAAATGAAAATGTAACTTAGCTTAGATACTTTTATGTTTTTGAATTCACACAGCGTTGTTGGGAACCCTCTGATCTGTGCCACGGGACAGGAACCAGTGTGCTTCGGAACGATGCCGACAACACTTCCATTTGCCTCCAACAATTCACAAAGTAATTATACTTTTTGCTTGTTTCCCAGTTTCTTTTTACTAGTTCAGACATTTCAGCTGTTTTAAGCTTGTGATCTTTCTTTTCCTAAACCACAATTATCTTTCCTTTTCTTTTATGATTCAGTTTCTCAGCTCCAAAATAACTAAACAAATAAATAGATAATTTTTTTTTTTAATAAATTGAGAAGGCTCGGTGTAGGATGAGAGCTTTAGTGGGTGCCAACCATATTGGGATCGTTAAAGTTCTCTGATGCCAGTTGTTTTCTATCTTTCTGTTTTTTGAGCGAAAATTGTCATAACACTCTAATTTCGCTTTTTCGGTACCACTTCTTAAGATTCTCAACCTGGTGGGAGACCAAGAAGCCACAAAATTGCCTTGGCCTTTGCTTCAAGCCTTGGCTGCATCTGTCTCCTAATTATTGGGTTTGGTTTCATTCTTTGGTGGAGGTACAGACACAACCAGCAAATTTTCTTCGACGTCAACGGTAAGTAAAACCAAACTCGAATTTCATACAAAAGCAGTACCATTTGATTGTTTTTACTAACAATAGACTTAAACTTCAGAGCAACATCATGAAGAAGTTTGCCTTGGTAACCTCAAGAGATTTCAGTTCAGAGAACTTCAGATTGCAACAAACAATTTCAGCAGCAAGAACTTGATTGGAAAAGGTGGCTTTGGAAATGTCTATAAAGGGTGTCTCCGAGATGGTTCAGTAGTAGCAGTCAAAAGGCTAAAAGATGGTAATGCCACTGGTGGTGAGATTCAGTTCCAGACTGAAGTTGAGATGATCAGCTTGGCAGTTCACCGGAACCTTCTCCGGCTTTACGGATTATGTATGACGGCCTCGGAGAGGCTCTTGGTTTACCCTTACATGTCCAATGGCAGTGTTGCTTCCCGTCTGAAAGGTAAATTTATTTTTCTTTGTTATCTTTAAGAACTCTATCCTATTACTAAATTGATGATATGATAATCACAAAGAGGGTGACCTTCGAAGTTTGAGGATACTAAATCATGACTTAAGTTAGCAAACATTTAGAGCTTGTTCAGTAGGAGAAAAAAGTTAAAGGAGGGATTGGGGTGAGAATATTGTTGGAAGGATTTCGAGACTTTTAGGTATTCGGTAAGAGGGAAAAGAGGAAGGAATAGATAAAAAAGGAATAACCAATTCTAAAAATAAAAAAAAACCCACTTTTATTCTGTTTTAATGTAGAAAGATTAGATTAAAGAATACATACCAAACACAACAAAAATAAAAGTAAAGAAGGTTCTTCCCGTCCTTTCTATTTTTCTGGCCTACGTTATTTATTTTTCTTTCCCTCCTTCCAAACGCAACCTTAGTAAATTGCATGTTAGAATCAGTATTTTTATTCAATTTGCATCTGGTGCTAAGTAGCATTGCTCGTTTCGCAATATTAAATTGCTGAATTAAAAAGAACATTGTGGAAGACTTCCAAATGAAATTGGCACTAGAAGGACAAAATAGGACATGTTTAGAAACATTGATAACATTCTTTCATCTCTGTAGCCAAACCAGCGCTTGATTGGAGTACGAGGAAGCGAATTGCCTTGGGAGCTGCGAGGGGATTGTTGTACTTGCACGAGCAGTGTGATCCCAAGATCATTCACAGGGATGTCAAGGCCGCAAATATATTGCTCGACGACTACTGTGAGGCTGTAGTGGGAGATTTTGGTTTGGCAAAGCTGTTGGACCACCACGATTCACATGTCACAACCGCCGTGAGAGGTACAGTAGGGCACATAGCCCCGGAGTATCTCTCCACCGGTCAATCCTCCGAGAAAACAGACGTATTCGGGTTCGGTATCCTTCTGCTTGAACTGATTTCTGGCCAAAGAGCTTTAGATTTTGGTAAAGCAGCAAACCAGAAAGGAGCTATGCTTGATTGGGTAAGAAGCTAAACAAGCATGTTTTCTCTTTCAGTGAAGGAAGTTGGCATGCAATAAAAACCAATGTTGACTTCCTTTTTAATTTAACATCATCAAAATATGAAACTAATGTTAGTCTACCTCCTAAAAATTTAAGCTTCTCGAAAAGAATAGTAAATTATCAAGGTATCAGAACCTTCTGTATTGAAACTTATATAATTTCTTTAATCTAACAAACATTGCATCCTTAAATTTAGTCATTTGTCACGCAATAGGTTAAATGAAAACTAATATTCACTCACTTCCTATCAGTTTAAGCAAAGAATTAGGAAACTAATTAAGCTTTTTGGAATATCTAGTATACTAATTAAAAGCCTGCAGTGATTAAAGTGTCATGTTTCATTCCTCAAACTACAGGTGAGCAGGAGAAGAAACTGGACATGCTAGTTGACAAGGACCTGAAGAACAACTACGATCGAATCGAGCTCGAAGAAATCATTCAAGTGGCTCTACTTTGCACTCAATATCTTCCAAGTTACAGACCAAAGATGTCAGAAGTGGTTAGAATGCTAGAAGGAGACGGGCTTGCAGAGAAGTGGGAAGCTTCTCAGAGAGCAGAGTCAACTAGGTGCAGAGCCAATGACTTCTCTTCCTCAGAACGCTACTCTGATCTCACTGATGACTCTTCATTGCTTGCACAAGCAATGGAACTTTCTGGACCAAGATGATAAATAAAACTCAAGATCGGGTGAAAAACAATAAGGAAAAGACGAGTTTGAAAAATGTCTAAGAGGAATCCATAACACAATGTTATATTGTAATGCCATGTTGGGAAATGAGTCTTGTTGTATATTATAGCATAACATTGGGGGTCCAAGGAGAGGTGTGTAATTTTACTCGCTGTACATACAGAATCTGATGCGCGAATTTTAGTGGGGATGTCCTAAAAGAGGACTTTATGAATAATAACATTTTAATGGTTGAATTTTGTTTGTATTGTAAATTCCAAAAGGCTTTCTTAATCCTAAAAAGTGTCTCTGTACTGATTGTTACCTTCTGTTATGAGATGGTGTTTCTTTTTTCATATTTTTCCCCACTTGAGAGATTTGATATCTTCCTCAAGATGTGATATGGACAATTATCTAGAAGCAGTTTATAAGAGAATTATTTTCTCTTCATTGTACATAATTTGTGGCAGCTTAAAATTTATCATAGTAACGATTAAATTAATACAAAGTAGCAAGTAATTTCTCATACTACCATGACAAAAATATATCTGCGGGGTACAAATAAAAAAAATGGGATTTTCGTTAAAAAAAAAAAAAATTAAGTGAGAAGTGCACACCATTTGTACCCTCAATATTTTCAAAAAGAAAAGAGATGAGAGTGTCCTCATACTCCTATTCAACACTACTTTTGAAATCTATTGGAACTATAGTTGAAGTGAAAAGATAATTAGTCCATGCTTTCGTCAACGTACTTAGAAATTCATACATGTTAATCACACAATTTCATTATTACAAAGGACAAATTGTGAATGAAAAGAATCAAATCTCGTGTACGAGCAAGAGAACCATTGAGCAATTATCCTTTATCACTGTGCTACCACAACCTTCCTTATTGTATTTATAATTATGTGTAGATAATATATCAAACTAAGTCAAAAATTTATTGAACTAGGTTGACAATTTATTCAAGTGATATAATACTTTACTCAATAAATTACATTTGTCAAAGTTAATGATTCAATAATTTACTTGAAAGACTGAATTGTCATTTGACTATTTTTTAATGAAATTTTTTTGTGGTTGGGTATGAAAAATACATTATTAGTACGACAAAATGAATCGTTGGTTATCAAATATTAGATTAAATAAAACATGAATAAACGTTTAATCTCATTATATAACTTCATTTTTTAGTATTTTTCTTCAACTTATTATGCTTTATAGCTCAGCGATTGGTTGATAAGATGACTTGTGGGGATGCTCATATGAATTTTGAAAAAAAAAAATGATAAAAATTGTTTCAATGCAATGATAATTTAAAAAGAAAATATGTAATTGCCTAAAACAACAATCAATATGTTATTTTTGTCACTCCGCCTAAGAAAAACCAAGGAGTCGAGCTTTCGTAGCAATGTGGGACTCCTAATTACATGAGTTCTCAATGTTGTTTTTTAGTATGGCTTTTGATATTCTCACTGCGCATAATAATGTTTTAATTTGGACATTTTTTTCTTAATTAATTTTATAAATATCTCCTAACTTATTTACTTTTCAACATGCCTTTTCGAATTTGAAATGGGATCATTTTCTCCCTCAAATTATATAAATCGCTCAAAAAAAAAAAAAAAAAACTCCTTTAACTGATATAATTTAATGAGTTTACACACGTCAACTCATCACATGATTTTTTTTACAAGGTACAAATTAACTTAAAATGAATAGTTTGATAGGCATTTATGAAATTATAAATAAGATCATGTCCTCAGTTTGTTTGTATTATAGGTGAAGGTGGTGTTTTGAACGATTTTACATCGTTTTGTGGATGAAATCATGTTAAACTAGAGTAAATAGTTCAAGAATATTTATGAAATTAATTCCGTTTTTATATAATAAATCGGGCAATTCTTGTTGTTTATCTCATTTATTTTAAGGAAAAAACCACTTTGGTATTTTGTGTTGTTCAGAAAAAAAAAAATCACTTTAGTTTCCTGTTGATGCAAGACCATGACACATTAAAGGAGAGAGGAAAAGATATAGAAGAAGCCAATAATTGAGGGAGAAGTAGATGAATTTATCTCTCTCTCTCTCTCTGTAACGCATCATCAACAGGGTTCCGAACTTTTCGAATAACACAAGCTACCAAAGTGTTTTTCCCCTGTATTTTATCCAAGCACTTCATTCACATGCACTTGATTATTTATTATACGTTTGAAATGTGAGTATTTTGCCTCCTTAAACTTTAAGAAACTTCTTTGTTTACTCGTTAAATTTTAAAAACTCACAGTTTATTTCTAAATTTTAAATTAATCTCATTTAATCATTTATATTCAAATTTTCATCAAATAAATTAAAAAAGGCCACGTTATTGCACTTAATACCCTTTTTTTCTATAACTCTAACCAAAATTCTAACGAGGGGATTGAACTAATTCAAAATTAAAGAGGTAAAATGAGAGTTTTTTAAATTTTGAATTGTAAAGTAAAGAATGATTCTGAGGTTTGGGACACATTTAGTATTGAGAAAGTTGTTGAACTTATCTTTAAAATACATAAATTTAAATTTTTATCCTTTATTTTTTATTAATACTCTTTTCACTGATATAAATATTTAATTAAAAGGTGATGAGCCAATGTTTACGGGTCAAACATTAAAGGGGTACTATTTAAAGATGTATTTATCTCTTTTTTCTCTTTTTTTTTTTTTTTTTTTGAAGTGAAAAGCATCTTTTTATTCAATAGAAACTAAATCGGCTTGGACAAAATAACAGATAAATCTCGGACTACAATCCAGCCACAACTTATCAGACAAATTAGAAAACAAAAAAATGCTAACATGTGGACCACGTAATTTTCTGATCGGGATACGTAGCAAATAGAAGCACAAGAAGTTAAATCTAAATTAAATTTGATATCGCCAATGACGGTAGGTTTTGGTGCTCTAAAACTTGGAAGTTGAATTGCCCGAACAACATTGTTTGGGTCTGACTCAAGCACCCAGTTTTGGAAACCTCTTTCCAGAGCAAAGGAGATCCCCTCTCAAATAGCCAAGCACTCTGCAACATATGGAAAAAACCTTGCTTCAATTCGTTTAGAAGCAGCCATTAACACCACTCCCTCCTCATTACGAATAACAAGCCCAACACCAATAAATCTCTCATCTCATCTTACTGTTGCATCTACATTTAGGTCCGTTTAGTTCGCTAATTTGAATTTTTAATTCGAGTTAAGATGTGACTTTACGTAAGAGTTTTTTACTGTAATAAAAAAATTAAATGTGACTATTTCTGAGAACTTTTTACTGTAACAAAACTCGAATTCTAAACTTGAATCGGTAAAATAAACGGAGCCTTATTTTAACTTGAGCCATAGTAGGTGGTTTCCAAAGCTTGCTTGGGTATTACATTTATTTTCTCTTCCTCTTCGGTATTACATTTGCACGGTCCACCTTGATATCAAATATGAAATAGAAAAGCCAGTGGTACGACGACTATATTGCATATAAGATGTTAAGTTCTCGTCGTTTTAGTCTCCATAGCCAAAACGGGCACTTAATGAAGTACGAGGAAACGGATTGTCTTGGGATCTGCTTGTGGATGTGAAAATATCAACGACATTTTGAGAGTAAAAGAGAAGACATATTGGATTCAGATCTCAATCAAAACCAACAATTAAACATTTTTTCCTTCTATATTCCATGGACATTTTTTTACTCAAGATAAAACATTTTTGTGTCATCAGACAAATATTAATTCCTTTCTCGTTGAGGTTATAAATTTAGTTCAGAAATAGTAGAAAATATGCCAATATGAAAAGTTTAAGAAAATATATAGGCCAACTTTTAGTTATAGAAATTAATATGCCATAACTTGTCAAGTTATGGTTCATAACCAGCTAAGTTATGGACAAACTTGTCAAGTTATGGTTCATAACCAGACAAGTTATGAACAAAAATGGACAATAACTTGTCAAGTTATGGTTCAATTTGACCTATTTATTAACTTAAGTAAATTATTGGCCTATTAATTTTAATTCATCTTAAGTCTTAGCCTATTTTCCTCTTTCTCCCAATTTAATTTGATACGACTTGCTTTTTTCTAGACCTTATGGCTTAGAGAAAGAATAGTTGAAAAGGAATGGGGAAAGCCAATTCTACTGATAGTGTCAGTTTATGACCGTTAGATTTGGTCAAAATCACATTAGATTGAAAAGTATGTAGAACAAAATTTTTTTTATACAAATATAACAGTTGAAAGTAAAAAACTACTACTGATTTATTTTTTCTGATCCTACCAAAAAAGCTCTGAAAAAAAAAGTAATTTAGAAATGTCATAAGCCCAACGAAAGTTTTTTTTTGGTTTTTTGTTTTTTGTTTTTGTTTTTGTTTTTGTTTTTTGTTTTGTTTTGCTTAAGTACCATAAAAATAGGAGCCAAGCGGCATAAAAAGTGTTAATAACACTGGTTTAAATTGCTTAGTGCGTTGACAATGAAGTATGAGGTTTGTATTGTTATAAAATAAGAAGGCAAATCATGATTTAGCTTCACATTGGTAAATGGCATTATTCGCTATGAGTATATACGTTTGTTTATTGTTGTTTCGAAAAAGGGTTTTGTTGTCCAAAAGCCGAACTGTCTGGTTATTAGAACATAAAATTAAAAAATGTGATTAAACTGCTGAAATTGTGTTTAAAAAAAAAAAAAAGAACTACCATTATCATCATATATGAGGGACAATGTACAAAAACACCTGTCTCAAAGCTTTTTATATCATCGTGCTGGCTATTTTCAACTCCAGACCAATCTACTAATCTAGCGATTATATAATCAAAACTGCAACCAATTATTGAGTAAATTCATGTTTAATGGTTTCTAACAAACAACAAGAATGTGTGTTTTCATTTCATTAGAACTCTATACAAAACAAATACCACATGAAGTACATTGCCATGAATAAATTCACGTGCAACATAAGTTACAACTTAATCTTGGATGAACACGCTCTTCGAAACCTTACCAATTCAATCAGCATATTGAGTCGTCCATCCATAACGTAGACACAAGGAGTGATACTCATCCTCTCCAGCACCGGCGATCTACATAGCAAGAACTTGATGAATTCCATTTCATGTGGCACACTGGACATTTCTGTCATCTTCACATGTTTTAGTTTTTCGAGTGCGCATTTCGAATGGCTTTCTTTCTCCCATAGATCTAAATCGGGTGCTTCCATTGCAACCAGAGCGTTTGAGGATCCCTACTCATCAAAACAAAAGTTTACGCACCAAAATAATCAATGGAAGTTAAAGAATGAAAATTGGGATGTAAACAATAACTTACTGAGATCTGAAGTTCCTCTAGATTAGGAGAGCTTGTAACTAAGCGAAGAACAACATATATCTCTTTCATATCTTCGAAACTCACTTGATATAGTTCAATGACTTTTAAATGGTCATATGTAATTGCAAGTTTTCCCAAGTCATAACCTATACTCAAATACTACAAGCAGAAAGGTTTATTAAGCATTAATCTTGCTATTGAGTACCCACAAATAAAGTTGAAATAAAAATTAGCAAAGATTATCAACTTCATATACATGACTATTAAAGAATCTTACCTTCGTAAAGTAGATGTGCCCGGTAAGGGTCTCAAGACGAGGTAACCCGCCAAGAAACTTGTCAAAATTGCAACTTGAACTTTGTTCAAAGTGCTCAAAGTTGTCATCAGTCATATACATAGCAACGGACATTGAACTCAAAAGTGGAGCATTCTCAAGATTTATGTCCCTGAACTCGCCTTCAAGAAACAAGTACTTGAGATTCGGTGCATTAATGTTTAGTGTTAAGCTGTCAAAGTATGACAAAGATAGATTCTCAAGTAGAGGGCAACTAGATATAAGATTTTCTATCACATCAGGGTAAACTGAAACTTGATGAAGAGTGAGATTCTTCATAAACAAAAACCCCTTAAAACTAGGAGGCGGATCCAATTCGCAACGAAACAGCTCTAAATGGGTCAACTTTTTACAGCGAAAAAGAGACGCCGGTACTCTAAACCAGTCCCCTTCTCCTAGTTCAAGAGCCAATTCTTTGATGTCATTCCTCGAAAGGAAAAGTATCCATTGATCTATATCGGGACAGCTTTGCAAATAGGAAGTAGTGAGCTGGAACTTGTGAATCGGTCCTTCGTGAAGAAAAAGAGCTCTTGTTATAAATTCAATGAGGCTTTTCTCATCAAAATCTTGGTCACTACAGAAAGGGACACATTTCTCATCAAACACAAGTTGAGTGATTGAAGCCCATTTGTACCTCCATTTACTAGACAAAATGCTAGTTCTCACAGCATCTCTAATCGGCAAGCGCGTTAGAATGCTCTCTATAATGCTCTGAGGCAAATCACTTATCAAATCTGGTTCCATAAGATCTCCCATTCAAGCACTACGAAAGCAATGAACCCACAATTACAAGCAATAAATTTAATTATCTCGATATTATAATATCTTTACTAATCATAAAAATCCAATATCTCTTATTAACAGTCAAAGAAATGTAAATCTCCAATCTTTAATACTTGAATTACAGGACTTTAGAAAAAAAAAAAAAAAAAAAAAAAAAAAAAAAAAAAAAAAAAACCCCATTTGATTAAAAAAATAAAACAAAAAAGTTAAATTTTTTTCCCCTAATTTCTTTGCAGCTTTCTCCCTTAATTCCATTAATAAACTGTGGATAACTGCAATTCTGTACATTTCAATTTCTAGACATACCCCTCTATCGATCAAAGTTTCTTTCAAGCCCAAAAGAAACCCAGATGAATAATCAAAAGATCAAATCTTCAAGTAAGGAAATAATTAAAAAAACAAAACAAAAAACGAAAAATGAATTCGGGAGGGAACAAGAGCAAGATAGAAAAATTACCAGTCTTTGTACGATGAATCGAGGGGAAGAGAGGAGGTCTCAACTCTCACGGTGTGAGCTGATTCAGTTTTACAAATGTCAATTTTGCATCAAACTCTTCGACAAGACACAACCTAAACTCGAATACAGATGAAACTTGTTTCGCTGTCTGTCGTCTTGTGGGTGAAGACCCATTTCCTTTTTTTTTTTTGGGTGTATAAAATAAAAGCTTCTGTTGTTGTTGTTGTTTATTTATTTATTTTAATTGAAAAAGCAATTTGTTTTGCCTGTTTGTAACATAATTCTCAAGTTGAAGTGCGAATTTCATTTAATCGAGATTTTCATTTTTTTAATCCGATTCGGGCCGAGCAATTTTGGACGTGTTTGAAACTCATTTTAAAATATTTTATTTTTTATATGAAAATAAAAATTTTAGACAGAAATTATTTTTAAAAATGCGTTTAATAGTTTTATTAAGAGATTATTTTTAGTATAAAAAAACTCATTAATGTCTCTCTGTTTGAGAGAGGAGAAAACGAAAATAAAAAATGAAAAATGATTAAAAGTCGTTTTTCATTTCTCTCTCATTTTACACTAAATCAAAAAATTATTTTCATTTACGTTTTTTATCTTTATTACGCTAAACGCCGTTCTAAAAACATTTTATTTTTTCTTTTTTAAAAAACATAAAAAATAAAAATGAGATTAATTTCAAGCACGGCCCTTATTTTTCTCACGAGAAAATCGGAAACGTATCCTCTTTGTTTTAGTTAAATTGTACCTTTATAATTAAATTTTTAATAATTAAAAAAATAACCATCATAAATTTAAACTATCTTAAAATTGTATAAGTTTTCTAAAAGAGGTAAAATATAAAAAAATTTTGAAGGGGAATTTTCATTACTAAATTAATAAATTATAGTCGTAAATGATCTCAGACTATAAGGAAATCCAACCACGAATATTAACTGGGCCAAAAATTGAATCTGCACGACACGAGCATTTATATTCATTTAATTTTTTAAATTTTTTAGTTAAAGTGTAATTAAATATGAAGGATTAATTGAATAACAAATGTATAACAGAAAGAATATAACTAAATCAATGACCTTGTTTATTACATCTACATAGCTTATAGAGTTTTTAAAATACATATTCATAAGTTGATGAGGTACGGAGGAGGTTTTCCCATCATGAATTCCAGACGTGTGGTGTCTCATTTACTTAATTAGTAATTTTTATTATAAAATAATTAATTAATTAATTAATTAATCTACAACTATAGGAAGTTAAAATTAATAAAAAAAGATTTGAATGTGTGTAATATAGTACACTTAAAATTATCTATTATAACATATTATATAATTTAACAATATAATATAAGTAAACAAGACCAGTAAATAAAGAATATGATCAAGGACCTCTAAATCTGTCACTATTATGCGGCCCCCGTCACGCGGTTAGCAACGGGTTAAAATTTTAACCTGTTATCTATTTAAATTAAATTTTCTTCATCCCATTCAAGAAAGGTCGTAACTAATAAAATTGCTATCCCTAAGCTATATACATTGGTAATGTATTGATACGAAGATGATAAAAAGTGACAAACGTAGCCGCATAAAAAATAAAAAGAGGACAAAAAAAGAAAAAAAATTGATGACATTGACAGCTTCTATCATTATTAGAAAAGTCACAGAGCCCGTTCAGTTCGCTGATTCGAATTTTTAATTTGAGTTGAGATGTGACTTTATGTAAGAACTTTTTACTGTATCAAAAAAATTAAATGTGATTATTTCTGAGAGTTTTTTACTGTAGCAAAATTTGAATCGGTAAAATGAACGAGACTACAAAAGATTAGGGGTAAAGAGGAATAAAAATTAACTGTCAAAAACAAAAGAGAAAGGGGCAAAACGGAATGTAATTCCACCATTACCTAGTGGTGTCAAACGTGTTGTGCCAGGCCGGCACGGCACGTCCAACACCAGGCCCGTGACGGGCCTGGCACGACCCTGCACAGTGCAGGGCCGTGCCTGAGGAGAAAAACTCAGGCCCGGTCCAGGCCCGCAACCCTACTCCATAAGCTAGGGCAGGGCTTGGGCCCAGGCCCTTCACGGGCCGGCCCAACAAATTGAATTTTTTTAAAAATTTAATTAAAAAAAATAAAATATATCATATGTCTCCAAAAGATGTGATTTTATTAAATTGACATAATAGGAATAAGTACACATAAATGACTGCTTCGTTAAAAACCTTGCTAAGTAAAACTCGTGGGGAGATCGGGACAAAACCTTAGCGAAGGAAAAAAGAGTGCAGTAGCTAAGAATAGTAAATTACAAACCTAAGTGCTTCCAGAAGATTATGTTATTTTTAAGTTAGAAAAATATTCTTGCATTGAATCATCTGTGTATTGTTGTTTTCGTCTTCTGGCATCTTCCCAGTCTTTAACGCACATTAGCCCCTCCAAGATATCTGGATGCATTCTGCTTCTCTTCTCGTCAAGAATTTGGTTGCTTGCGCTAAATGCTTACTCCGATGCTACCGTTGACATTGGAGTTGTCAGAATGTCACGAACTATCACAAACAGTGTTGGAAAACGATCGGTCCTACTCTTCCACCACTGTAAGATGTCTGGTATGTTGTCATCGATTACAAAATTTGCTTCAAAATATTTTACTAGTTCGGTAGACGCTTGTGTTGATGACGATCCTGCCGTTTTTTCTTTCTTCTTCAAGAAACTCCACGATGATCCTTTAGGTCCCAAACTGCTAGAAATTTAGCTAGTGCCTCACGAGCACGTTGTGCATCGTATGTAAAATTTTGTAACCCCTGTGATGTGAGTGATAGTGTTTGTTGGTGGGAGTCCACACTCCCACCTTGGTGCAACGGTAGACATACTTTCCAATGTCTATCTATATGACCAGTAACCCCACCCTTTTTATTAGAAAAGTGTTTTTTACAATATTTACATACCGCATGAAGTTCCATTTCACCTGTTTTTAGATTTGGTCGGGGCTCCTTAGTGAAATGCTGCTATGCCGGAGAAGTTCACGGTCTTTTTCCCCTGATGCGTTCTTCAGCTTCCTCATTGTGCACTGAAGCATTATCTACCAGAGCATTTTCTGGTTCAGTGGGGGTATGGTTGGGAGGCATCATTTCATCCTAAAAAAATGTCTCATCACCAAGCTCAAGAAGAGCAGTAAAATCAGGAAAGTTTGATGCGGCCATTTTCTCGAAATTGATTGAATGTGAACTTTGTAAATGAAAGAATAAGAAAATGAATGATTGCGAGAAAAAAGCTTAGAATCAAAATGAAAGAGATAAGATGAGAGATAGAATGAAAGTGAGATGAGAAGTTGAGAGTGAATTATTGTGTGTGATTTAAGGTGGAATTAAGGGGTATTTATAGGGGATTTTTTGAGCATTTTCGGATTCTTAACGTTGGGCCCTTCGCGGGCCCAACGGGCGGCCCGTGACGTGCCTAACGGGAGGCCCGCCACGAGCTAAACGGGAGGCCTGTGGCGGGCCAAACGGGAGGGCCGTCACGGGCTGACTGTTAGGCCCGCGAAGGCCCAACGGTAGCATTTAGAATGGGCCGTTTTGCGGGTCGTTTCGTGGGCTTGGGCCGGGCCGCGGGCCTTCACGGGCTTGGGCTGCGGGCTGAGAAGCCGAGGCCCAGCACTAGCCCATTACATGTGTCGGGCCGACACGGGCGGGGCGGGCCCGCCTATGGACGGCCCGGCCCATTTTACATCTATACCATTACCCGCCTGCTTCAACACATAGTAATTGACGTATGATTTTTCTTTTTTCCTTCTATTATTTTACCTAACCTTTCCATTTTCTTTTGTGAAAAAGTGCCTGCCTTTTCCTGAGGGTAAAAAAAGGAGAAGTCGTTTGGTTGGTTTTTTTTTTTTAAAAAAAAAAACAAAAGAAAAACAAAGAGAAGTCGCTGGTATGCTTAGGAAAAAATAAAAAATAAAAATTAAGAGCATTTAAGTTCAAACCTATGGGTGCATTTGGAATCTGTTCCAAAATGATTTTGTTTTCTGTATGAAAATAAAAATGAAAACATTTTTATTTTCAGATAGAAATCATTTCTGAAAATGTGTTTGGTAGAAATTATTTTCAGTATAAGTAAAAACTGAAAATGCGTTTGGTTTTACATTTTTAAAAACATATAATAATATTTAAATAATTAATAAACGTCTCAATTAATACATTAATAATTAATATAATATATATAACACAATTTTTCACTAAATCTACCATCAATTTTTAGTTCCTCCCTTGGCAACCATTCTGGCGATGAAATCCTCGTAGCAGATCTTTCCGTCGGAGCCGACATCGACCTCGCGGATCCACTTGTCAAACTCGGCCGGCTTGAGCTTCTCGCCGATGCTAGTGAGGATGTGGCAGAGTTCGGCGACGGAGACAAATCTCGTGGCGTCCTTGTCGAGGACCTTGAAGGCGTCGCGAAGCTGGTGATCGAACGACTCCGGCTTCATGTGCTTGGCCATCAGGTCCAGGAACTGCGGGAAATCGAACGGCGCAGAGAGATTCTCCTCGGGGATGATGGATTTGAGCTGCGCATGGGTAGGGTTCCCGCCGAGGGATCTCATAAGGATCCTGAGCTTCGACGGCGCGATCCGACCGTCACCGTCAATGTCGAAGAGCGTGAAGGCCTTATTCATGGAAGAAACATGGTCGTCACTCTGATCCTTGCCCACCGCCCGATGGAGACCTCTCCCTCACCCACTTCGCCCTCTCCCTCCTCCGCTCCTCCGCCGCTGCCGCCGACGACCCATCCTTCCTCTCCACCACATCCGTCCTCATCGATAGCTCCACCGCCCAATGGAGACCGAAGATGAGGGAGACCAGGGGGAGTAGAGGAAAGAAAGTTAAAATGAAAATGGGAAAACTAACTGAGGAAGAAAAGATTGACACCGAAGAAAATGAAAGCGAACCTCAATCGTTTTCATAATTTTTACATTTTTGGGAAAGGGTCAGAAAATGTTTTCTTTTTTAGTTTTTATAGGATGATGCGCCAAACACGTTCTCAACCCATTTTCATTTTTTGGTCCTCGAAAAATGTAAAAAACGTTTTTGAAAACGTAAACAAACATGCACTATATTTCTATTAAACTTTTATCATTTTTCATTAAATTATCATATTATTAATTGTCAAATTTTCTATTAAAAAGGGAAATACACTCAATTCAATAGCATATTCTATACATGTCATTGTAATTTACATCATATTTTTTAAATATCGATAGTTAAGAGCATATCAACTACAATAAGTAGTCTAATACCTAAAATGCCCCTTATATCTCTTCTTTCCCAGTCACCCTTTTGACCATATCTTGGGTATCTCTCTATCTCCCCTCTATTTTACCCAGATCGTCCATTTCTTTCTCATCGTTGTCCCAATTCCACCGTCAAGACGAAGCTCCCAGATCTCGTTGAGGCTGCCAGCTCGCCGTCCGGAGATCTCCATTTCTTCCAAATCTCGTCCACAGATATCGTCGTCCATCCGTCGTCTTCGTCAAGATTCATCTTTGGCACTAACGAGATCTAATGAACGCGCCGTCGGCTTTCCAGTCTAGCCGCAGTCAACCAGATCCGGCCAGAGATCTCACCAGTTTGTGAACCAGTCCTCGTCGTCCTTCTAGTTCCCGCCGTCACCACCTAGATCCCGGCCATGGAAAATCACGTTGCCGTCGCCGTAAGAGAACTCTGAGATTTTTTGTGATCATCTTTTCCGGTGACGATCTAATCGGTATCTGCTCTTTCTCGCACTCTCTCTCTCTCTCTCCTTAGTCTCTCTGTCGTCGATTTCCTATCTCGCGAGTGAAGACGAAGAAGCCGTTGAGAAGATGTTGCAGAGATCAGGACTCGCTGTCACGAAGCTTCTTCGGCGTCCGGCACTGATGTTGCTGTGTTTTGTTGCTTTTTGTTGCAGGTGTCAGGAAAGGGTTGTTTCCGCCAGGACTGGGTTTTTGCTGAGGTTAGGGTCAGGGTTTAGGAATCAATTTTAGGGCTGATTTGGGAATTAGGGTTGGGAATTTTTTCTAGTACAAATTTGGAGATTTTTTTGCATCAATTTGTAATATTAATTAATTTATAAAAAAATTTAATTAGGTAAATACAATATGATAAATATCATATTTATTAATAAATATGATATTTATCAATAAATAAGGTTTATCAGTATCAAAAGCAGTCTGGAGAGGGGACCACCGGCTGCCGAAGCCGCTTATAGTAGACTTAGGCTTAGTTTGCTATTTATTTTGGGAGAGACAAAATACTTATTGAGATAGTAAAAGCTTTAAAAGTTGTTTGGTAAAATCCAAAGTAATAGATTTTTGAATAATTTTCTCTCAATCTGAAGTTAAAAGTAGAATCAGTCTAAAGGTTGATTTTACTTTTTAGCTTATGCGGGAATCCCTTGAGAGTTTAATGAAAATTTTTTATTTCCTATTTTACCCTTAATGAAATCTCACATTTACCACATGTATTAACACATGTTCTGAGCTTTTCTTCCATTGTCGTTTGAGCTCTATCGAAACTCTGTTCTTTCTCTTCTCCTCTCGTCTGATCTCTCTCGTCTGATCTATCTCTTCTCATCTTCTCATCTTGTTTGATCTCTCTCTTCGCCGGTCTCTCGCTCCATTCGTCAGTTTGTGCTCGTTTGGTTTCTCCTCCGTGCGATTGTCGATTTGTCGTTTCTCATCTCCTCTTTCGACTGTCTGTTCTCTTCCCATCAGATCAAGAGGTAAGTCTCTGTAACTACTTGATTTTTAGCGCGGTTTTGGATTTGCTTTTGATTTTTTGTCCGCATCTATTTTAGGTTTTAGGGTTCTAATTTTTTGTGAAAAATTTGGTTGATGAATTTTTTGTGAAAAATTTTTCTCTCTCTGCTATGTAAACTTTTTGTTTGGACCGGATTTTGACTCTATTTTATGGGTATTCACATACTTATAGTTCATGGATATGGTTATTTAAGCATTTGAATCATTCGTGCATATTGTTCCAAAAACTGTGAAGAAAAACTTTGTTTTTCCTCTGCTCTGTGAAGAAAAGCCGGTGGTTAACCCGACCTGGAACACATCTTGATAAAGTTGGGTGGGAAAATGTAATTCAGAAATTTAATGAAGCAATTAAACGAGTATATAAAAAATAACAATTAAAGAATAAGTGGGATGCTTTAAATAATGATTGGAAGCTTTGGAAGGAACTTGTTGGGAAGGAAATTGGTTTAGGTTGGAACATTAAAAAGAATGCTATTGAGGCATCTGAGGAATGGTGGCGTAATAAATTGCAGGTATACAAATGAAGTTGTACAATTTTGATAGTTTAGTGTTGGTGTGTGGCAGGTTTAATTTATTAAAGTGTTTTTTCAGATTCATCTGAACGCATCGAAGTTTCGCACTCGGAGAATTGAACCAGAGTTTAAGGAAAAGTTAAATAGGATGTTTATTAATTCTGTGGCCACAGGAGTGTGCTCTTAGACACCCGCATCTGGACAGATGCCATGTGAGCATGATAAAACAACACATGAAATTGTAACTCCACTTGATAACTTGAGAATAGTGGATCGTCAGATGCAACTATCGGAAGA